ACACAGCTCACAGCCCAATACCCTCCCCACCTTGCTTGAAATCCTCTCTTCACCATTCTTTATGACAGTGTTAAGAGCTGCATATGGATCAACGGCAAGACTTCTGATTCCCAATCACTGCCAGTATCTACTAGGGTTGTGTAGCAACCCCCAAATTATTCAACTGCATCATTAACCACCACATAGATGCAGTGTGTGACCACTTCCTTGATGTTCAGCTCAAAGACTATGACCTAACTAACCAGGACTACCACCTACAAGACAACGCTGTTCTGCTTCTTGCTGGCTGAGTTGGCGTGGGGACTGCATATTCAACAAGGCCTGGGCTATGCATCAACTCATCAATGACCAAGCTGTTGTACATGTAAGAGATGGCTCCAATCCACCATTATCATTGGCAATGACCTTGTAGAGTTTGTCAGGTCTTTTGTCGACCTGGGCTCAGAAATTTCCAACACTGGTAACCTCCTCATTGAAATCAACAGAAGACATGAGCTGATTGCAGGCATCATGAGACCCATTATGGTAGTGATGCAACATCTGACATACCAAGTTACAATTCTACAATGCCGCTGTTCTCTCTGTGCTATTATACAGTGCTGAGACATAGTCTCAGCTGTCTATGGTTTTGAGTCCTGCACCCTCAGGACCATTGAGGGAGTGTACCAGTTTGATCTTGTATCCAATGGAGAGCTCCATTAAAGGACTGACCAGTCAATCAACCTTCTCAATATCACTCAGTGCTGTGTACGTTGACTCAGTCACAACCTGATGAACAACTCACCAGGGTCATCTCCCAGGTTGACCCATCATCTGCAGATGGGAGACGATCCTGTGGCAGACCATGCAGCCCCTGGAAAGATGTTGTCCACTACAATCTTCACCAGATCAATCTGGCACTGAAGGATGTTCTGATGCTATACCAAAAATGTGAGAGCTTGATGGGCAAGGTGGCTCTCAAGAGCTCAATACCTTCATGGCATGAGAATTTTGTTTTCTATGGCTTATGAAACTTTTGAGGGTTATTTATATCCAGAAAATATTTTTTGATTATAAGAAATTTTTGGAGATAATAAAGATATACTGATAGAAGTCCAACTAATTCACTCATAGCTGGAGGGGGAAGAGGTGGATTCATACTTTTTTCAAGGTTATTTGCACATAAGAGAATATACTGAACATGACTGGAACTAAAACTTGGCTCTCTAATTTCCAGTTCCATGCCATTATCCATTACACCCACACATCCAAGTTTACAGCAGCTGGTGTTCCCAAGTAGTCACCAATCTAGGTACTGTCCAGGATCTATGTTGCTTAACTTTGGGGATCGTACAAGAACCTATGTTTGAAAGTGGTATGGCTGTAAGCCAGCATGAGAATTGGGCAGTAGACAGGCATCGATAATTCTCTGTGCATATTGGCCATGTAAGGGTTTTTTTAATTCTCAGGTATTTTTTAAATTGCTTAACACTTGTCTTAGCATGTTATTACTATTATCAAAGGAAAACCTCATAAAAACTAATCTGTGATTTGGTTAATAAAGACAGAATCAAGCTTACACAAAAAAAAAATAATAATTATTACTGTTGTTTTATATTAAAATAAATGTTTTTTTTAAATTATGTATTAAAATTATATAACAATAAATAAGTTATCTATGTACAAGGTGAGGCAAAAATAATATGGAATTCTATAATATTACAAAATATAATAGTTACAATATTCTATAATTCTATAATATTACAATATATAATATATAATAGTTGCAATAATTAAGTTACAAATGGGGTTCAAACGCTTTTACAGAACTATACATGTGTATGAATAATGTCTAGAAAACAGCGACACTTACTTGATCTTATCTCGGCAAATGATTTGACCCAGGTAATGGTTTCGGGTATTAAATCGAACCTTTCAATGACACAAAATGATTTTTTGTGTGTGTGTGTGTGTTTGTTTTTCTTAGGAAATACAATCTTCATACAATAGTTAATAGGATTTTTAAAGTTTCATCTTAGCTTCAGTCACTTTCCCACCACTGTAATATAGCTTCCCTGTGCCTTTTTCTATAAATACTTTCATGGTAATTGTTCTGATGAACTTTCCTCTATGATACCTAGACTTTATGAATTTAAGCACAGTACTAGATTGGCTGATAGGTCTCATCATTTTAGAGTTGAATTGGCTAGATGTGACCATAAGTTCTATGCTAACAGTTTCTTCTATAACACTTCTTGTTTGTGGAAATCTCTTCCGGTTTCTTGCTTTTCAACTTTGATCTTGAAAAATTTAAATGCAATGTCAATCATTATCTACTGTCTTCCTTATTCCTCTTCTTTTATTTTTCTTGCCCCATAATAATAATGTTTTCTTATTCTTTCACACTCAGTAACACATTGTGTCTTATTGGCTACATTGTTTTGCTCAAGGTAAAATAATTAAAAATAGAAACCCTTTGAAGCCATGTAAGTAGGAGAAGTTTTCTTTAACCAAAGGATATGTGGGTGGTGTAATGAATAATTGCTCAGAATGAGAAATCAGAAAGCTGTGTTTGAATTCCAGTTACATTCACTTATATCCAAATACCCTTGGGAAAGTTATGAATTATCTCTTCCCCCAAGCTATGGGTTAAATAGTAAAAGTTGCATCTGAAAAAAATCTTGTGATTGAGAAAAGACTTTTATCATTAGCAAAGATTCACTGACCATCATTGTTGTAGTTATTGGAGATGATTTGTTTGAAGTTGCTGACACATGATAGTAAGCAAAGATTCACTGACCATCCAAGCTGTTGTTATAGCTGAATTATTTGAAGTCACCAATAGAGGTTTCTTTCAGGACATGCTGGGGGTGACAGTCACATCTCTGCTCCTTGAAAGTTTAAATCTGTGGGTTTTTATAAGAAATTCTTCCCGAAAGTAGGCTCAAGAAAAATGGAGTATTAGTTTTTCTGATTAGTCAAATACTTCATATGATGATGTTAATTTCTAACCAATAGACACTTTGATTTAAACAGGTGTGTGTTGTATTGTGGAATCTTTTTGGCATGTTTGTAATATTGTCTATTATTGGGTAGAAAATAAAGTTTGGGCATATTTTATTATGCTATGCTTGGGTATGTAATTTTGTTGGAAATTAGGTTTATTTAAATACCCCATAAAATCTGTAACAAACCAAAACAAAAAATGAGTTATTAAGTGCATTCAAGCAAATGGTTTAAATTGTTAACCATTTGGTAAGTGAAGTTTTTCTGGTCTTTAATTTTTTCTTTAAATTTCTTTTTTTATTGTCTTCATATCTAACCTGAAGATTATATGTAGAATGTTTAAAAAATATGACCTTGTTTAATTTTGATAAATAATGATTTTTTTTCTAATGTTTATTTTTTGTTATATTGTAATTGACTTTACTGCTAGTTTATCCAGCAAATAAAAGAAAAACCATAAGAAGGGAAAATAAATAAAGAAAAAATATATATGAACAAACTTTTGCAGGATACTAGTATGTTTGAGTAGAAATAAGTCACCATTATATTGCGAGTATCACCTCTTTGGTTGTGATGAATACAGACATTTTACGTGTTCTTGGAACATTTATCCTGCAATCAATATTGGCGTACTCATGTGAGTCCAGATAAAAATTAGATATAAAACAATGACTATAAAACAAACAACAATGTTATTTAACAAAAGGAATTACATGTGTGCACAATTGTAATAAAAGGAAAAAAACATTAAAACTAGCTGTAAGAAAAATTGGCTTGTTCATATGAAACAAGCATGTGTGATAGATTTATTTGTGTGAGCACATGGGTGTGTGAGAGAGTTCAAATGTCAATGGAGGACCAAGGAAGAGAACACACCTTAGTCAGCAGTGTTCTTTATCAATGTCAACTACATCTGGAAGCAAGAGTTAAAAAGAGAGAATATGATTGCTTTTTTAGATGTAAAGAGTGCCCCCTAACGAGTACTTTTGGCGGAGCCAAGTGGGGTAACCCACAAAACAATTGTGTCAAAAAATGTTGATAACTTTTGCATCAGCCTATAAAGTAACAATTATTAGAAGTTTAAAAAATATTTTAAACCTAGAAATTTACTAAGGCTAACTCAATGCTGTTTTCATCTTTGTGCGTGAGGTGTTTTTAATAATAATATATTTCTAATCTTTTCAATAAAATTTCAGCTTTAACTTGTTAGGTAACACTTTTTTTTTTTGTGAGACAAGTCTGTTCAAAAAAGTTTTACCTTTTTGTAAATTCAGAAAGACTTGTAAACAATAAAATAATTCCGAAAATAAAATATAATAATTCAAATTTAGACTACACTAAAAAGTAATTCAATTTATTTGCATAAACGTATGTACTGTCGGAAAAAGAGAATCCGAATACAGAAAAGTCATAAAAATGTTACGTAAAAAAGTCACAAGAAAAAAAGAAACAGGAAAATGTTAGCATTGTTTCTTTCTTTAATAGACTATTTTTTTTTTTAACACTACTCGAATCCTGAAGAGAAGACAGTATGAATAGTAGAAATCTCGGATTTCACTGAAATCCGAGATTTCTACTATTCATACTGTCTGAAATCATTTCAGTGTTGTTTACGTTGTGGATCAGCAATACTTGGATTTTTAAAATAAATGAAAAAAAAAGTTAATTTTTACGCCTCCTGCTATGGACATTATTGACAGTAATAAACATGGTTAAAAAATCAGCTATAATGGTTTCATGTATACCAAATATGTCACTCGCAAAAATAAGTTGTGACTTTTTTGTTTTTCCTAATCAAAATTGTGACTTTTTGTTTATGTGACTTTATTACCGGCCACGGAGAAACAAAATCAGACATGTTTGTAAAGAGAGGACAAAGGGAGATAATTCTATTTTCGCGTTGTTGTCTTCAGGCATAACAGAACACTAAAAAGCAGCGAGTTGTAAATAATGGCAATAATTAAGTTACAAATGGGGTTCAAACGCTTTTACAGAACTATACATGTGTATGAATAATGTCTAGAAAACAGCGACACTTACTTGATCTTATCTCAGCAAATGATTTGACCCAGGTAATGGTTCGGGTATTAAATCGAACCTTTCAATGACACAAAATGATTTTTTTGTGTGTGTATGTGTGTTTGTTTTTCTTAGGAAATCGGTCTTTTTAGAAAAAGAAAAAAAATATTTCTCTGTTGATTTTTATCGAAATTTGCTTTGCTTAAAAACTGAAAAAGAAATAATTTAACATTTTTTTCTGCGATAGTAAAAGAATGTGTTTCTTTTTTTTTATTCAATTAAACTTGTAAGATTACTTTTATTTTCGTTCATTCTTCTTGTTTTAACTGAAAAAAAGATGAGGAATTTATTTTTATTTTTCTAATTTGTTTAAACTTGGACAAAAAGTCACATCACTTGTGTGAGAGCGAGCATCGGTTTCAAGATGAAGAAAAAGAATCGAACTTGTGAAACCAGAAAGCTAACCACTGGCATAATTTTTTTAAAAAAACATTTAAAAGATTTTTTTACTTTTACAATGATTTTTGATTGAAGTACCGAAAGCTTTGATTATTTGAAATCTTTTAAAAATAAAAAGAAATGTTTAAAAAAAAATACGCATTTCAAAGATTTTTAACTATTTTTCGACACAATGAAAGATAAAGTCAAAAAAAGTGCATATGACCAGTAATTTTTTTTTTATAATAATTTTATTTGCTTTTTTTTTCTTTTGTTTTTTAGGTGTTATGTTTCTGTGGCCTATCAACTTAAAAAGTGGCTTTTAAAATAATAGTTAATAAACTGATGCAACTTTTTCAGAGAAAGTATAATTTTTTTAATTTTAAAAAATTCTAGGGATGATCCCTCCCTAACGTACAACTTTGAAAATAAAGTAAACTAAACAGTTAAATTAAACAAAGTATTTAAAATTTAAATTAACGCGACATTTTGAGTGTATTTAAAATAAATAAAAACATAATGTATTATTAATTATACATTTATTAAATAATTTTTTTTCAAAATAACTAGTTGTCTAAACTAAAGTAAACAGAAACTAAAAACACTCGGATGTTGATAGGAATTTAAAGCCAAAGTTAAAAAATGTATTTTTATGTACTTTAAAATGAAGAAGAGAAATATTTTTAAATTAAACTAAAAGTTTTAATGCAGTCCGTTGTATTTAATCATTTCGTTTTGGCTGGAACTGTCCGGATTTGAGGGGTCTGCTAGAAAAGTAAAACTTTTTATGATTATCTATCCTCACAATCTCCACTTCCTACCACCATCTCTTCCACTCATATCTCATACTCTAGTCATCATTACCATTTCGGTAGTAACCCTTTACCTTGAGTGACTCTCGAGCAGTGTACTTGTATTGGGCGAAAATTAGTTAAAAAAAAAAATCAATATGTGTGTGCGTCTGTAAACCCGAAGCTTAAGGAAGGGGTGTTGGGTCATTTAAAACACTTTATTAGGCAAAAAAAGAAAAAAAAAAAAGTTTTAATAAAGATTTAATAAAATTTGTATTTTTGCATAAGGGAAAATAAATAACTCAAACAACGGGAATTGGAACTCGGCTCTCTGATTAACAATTCCAAGCCATTATTCAGAACACCACTCACACACCCAAGCTTACAACACTTGGAATTCCCAAGCAGTTTCACATCTAGATACTGACCAGACTCAATGTTGCTTAACTGGTGTTTCAATGTGATGTGGTTGTAAGCCTCTATTTATTTTATTAGATTGTTTATTTACAAGAGTAATTTTATATTTATTTACAATATTCTAAAAATGTTTACATATTTTGATAATTTTTTAAAATTTTTGGATAAAAAGATTTCCATATTTATTTCTTTAAATAATAAATATCACATTGTACTTGGTTCACATATTTTTATAATCTTGTAAATAAACATTACCAAGCGAGTGAAGTTAGTACAAAATAATAGCGGTATCAAGGGAAAAACCATCCTTTTGACAGACTTTATTTTTGTGAGCACAAAAGTTAGTTTTCCAACTGATTTCTCCTTTCTAATAATGGGATTTTTCTTTATAGTAACAGGAGGCATTAATCAAAACCAATAAACAAATGTTACCATAAGAATGGAATATATCATAAGTAGGGGGGAGATCAAATTATTAAAACTGCTTTTTATTTGTTTTGTTTTTTATTATCTTTCTTTGGATTTTATTTAATTTTTTATATACTTTTAAAATTAAAATTACTTTTAAATGATTTTTAAAGCAAATTTCTTTCTTTGTGACAATAGAGTTCATTAGTAAATTTTATAGATAAATCTTAGATTACTTATGCTTATGCAGTTCACTAATTCAGTTATAAAATTACATAAATATGGTAATTTTTGACAGTATGGGTCATGTAAGTTTTCTTTAGATATTTCTAACATCTACTTCAGTTATATACTTTTAACATCTCTGCTTAATACTGTGAACTTTTATTTACTATTTATTTACATTTTTTTTCAATAGGAGTATTTAGGTTTGCTTGCCTATTGTCTCATTCACACTCCTCCCTGGTCTTTTGAACAGGAGTAGAGGTTTATCCCTTGTTTCTTGTTTAGGATTGGGTTTCTGGTTCCTTCTAATGTTTACTTCAACTATATACTTCTAAAATCTCTGCTTAATAACTCTGGACTTTTATTTACTGTTTATTTACATTTTGTTTCTTCAATAGGAATAGATAGGTTTGCTTATCATGGGTTCATACTCCTGCCCAGTCTTTTGAATAGGAGTAGAAGTTTATTCCTTGTTTCCTTTTTAGGATTGGGTTTTTGGTTCTTTCTAAAGTCCTCATTTTCTTTTATTCTCAGTAGCCCCTTCAATCTTGGTGGAATTATCACCTTACCTAGAGTGAATTGATTAAAAAAAACATAAAAATGTTACCATAACAACAAAATCTCATTAATAAGTACTGATTGCAATATGTTTATATATCGCTTTTGACTTTGATGTTAGCTTTTTTTTATTTTAAAAAACAAAATTTTAAATGTTAATTGCTATTTACACACAGACTATTGTCCTCATCTTTTTTTTATTATCACAATGTTTCAGCTGTTGTGCCTGCCAGCCTTCATCAAGTGCATGTTGGTGTGAGTAATCTACAGGAAATTCTGAACTGAATCCTTTATTTAATATACATGAGTAACTGTTCTCGTTCTACTGTCCATGTCTAGAGATAACTTGTCTAGTTCTTATTTTTAGTACTGCTCAGTTACTGCTTCTGCTGAGTTCAAGTATACTCAGTCTGGCCCAGGGATTGAACTCACAATTACTATATAACCAAATTCATGAATCAACTCTTTACTCCATTAGGCTATTGTCTTTTGGGAGAGTTAATTGTATACATATTGTCCTGCGGGATAGTTAATTCTATAGATATTGTCCTGTGGGAGAGTTAATTGTATACATATTTCCTGTGGGAGAGTTACTTGTATAGATATTGTTCCATGGGAGAATTAATTGTATAGATGATATCCTAGCTTACTCTTGAGTCATGAATAACCAATGCAGCCGCAAAATTACATAAATAATGCCACACTTTTTTATGTTTCTTGTAAAGTAAAATTAGAAAATTAAATAGTTTACATTTGATTCCAGTGAAAATTTACTTCCTTTTTTTTAAAAAAGTGTTGTGTTAAAAAACCTTTTATAATTAATCGATACTGTATATTCAACAGTTATTTTTCATTAGGTAACGTTTCATAATTTGCTTTTTAAAAGGCACCCAGCTTCCTGAGAAAAGCATTTCTCTATGAGTACATCTGTTATAGATTTCAATATAAGCATTGTACAAGTAGGTCCCAAGGCAGGAACTTCTTATTTTATGATATAAGATGATAACTGAATAACATCAATTTCTTGTTTCCCTGTGTCTAGGTGGACATGTTATGGCGTGATCATGGGCGTAGCCTTGATAAACCTGTGCACATACAAGCAAATGATACCTGTGCAAAGTGGCCACCACTTTGCTTTGCAGTTAAATTTGGACAAAGCAGTATTGTACAGTATTTAATCAGCAAAGGTCAGTGATCAATATTATAAGTTAAATTTTGTTCTATTATAGTTGTTTATGTAACCCATAATATCACAAGAAGGATCTATTAAACAAATCTGTCAAAACTCTCATTCATTCAAATGATTACATATTTTTTGGACATAGAGTGTGTAAGAACTGCCCAAATGATATTAGAATCGGTGCACTTTCAGCTATTCTGTACACATGCAACAACAATATAACTAATAGATCTACTACATATTTGGTATGCGAAGAGCTTTAGAATATTAATATTAAAAATATCTTAAAAAGAATGTAAATATATATAAAATATATGTATGGTGTATAAAAAGAATATTAATATGAAAATCTGATCATTTAATCGTTATCTCTGTTCTGTTGGACACCCTATGCAAAATATTAACTTTAGAGGCATGCCTACTGCTACACAGCACAAAGGGTATATTTTGCCTCTCTTCTCAGAAGAATTTGTTATAGTTTACTGTTTGTGATTGTCAACCTTAGTTTGCTAAGTTATATATATTGATACAAATGTTAATAAGGAAGAATATGTTATATAAACACTATATCAAACTGATGGTGGTTAATTTAATGGCAAAATGGAAAAAATCCTATGGTTATATATGATTACAATCAATGTTTGTATACTTTGACTTGGTGTAATGGTAAGCAAGCTTGTCTCAGTGAATCAGTTACATCTGAGTAGTGAGTTTGATCCTCACTGGGTGTTCCTTAATCTCAGCCTTGTGCCGCATCTAAGCAGCACTTACTAAATCACTATAATTATAACCAATGTTTCTGTTTATATTTTCACCCCCATCTCTTATGTATAATTTTATCAATAGAAACATTATTTATTCTGAAGTCCTTTTGAGGGATAAAAAGTGTCAGATTGGATTTTCTTCGATTTTGTCATTCATTTACCTACCATATATTAACCTTTAGCAGTCTGCATTATTAATATTACTTCTTTTTCCACTGCATTCTTTTTCAAGGTCTCTTAATTGCAGTAACCTTATTGTTAATTTCACTCAAAGTTGTTTTCTGTTGCCATAGCAGGATATGACAACACAACTATGAAATTCAAACACACTATTGTTCAGGGATCAGAATCAGAGTCACTTACAATGGCATAATAAACTTTTTGTACAGCAAATGGGGTCACATACAGAGTGATAATAGTTAATTAGTTAAGTGTAATAATTTCAAGTTAGACTTTTTATGGCAACAACATTTTTTTAGCTGCTTAGAATGCATAAATTTGATTTCAAAATTATTTGTAACTTGTTACTGTGAGATTGTCGTTTCTCAATCTTAAAATGTTATTCTTATGTAATTATTATATTATCTGATCAAAACAATCTCCAAAGGCTGTTCACAGAGCAAGAGATGAAAGACACATAGTAAAAGTGGAAGTGTGTGGTTTAATCTTCACAAGGTTGCTCAGTTCTTTGTGGACACATCTTTTAATAGCTCTAATTATTTTCTAACTTGTTCTGGTTTATCATTTCTTTTCTGATAAATGATGACAAGGTATCTCAGAAAATGGAAAGACACACTATAATCGTTGCCTTAAAGGCAGAACGTAGTGATTTCAAGATTGCTTACTTGCTGAAAGTTGCAATGTTGTTTGTTGTCAAAGTTCACAAAGAGTAGGAAATCGCTGATGGGGATTCTACAACAGTGGATACTAATATGATCAGAACACCCAAATATTGTACATTCCACAATTATTTTTCACTTTCAAAATTTGCTTTTTAAAAGGCACCCAGCTTCCTGAGAAAAGCATTTCTCTATAAGTACATCTGTTATAGATTTCAGTATAAGCATTGTAAAAGTAGGTCCCATGTTAAAAATAAGGCAGGAACTTCTTATTTTATGATATAAGATGATAACTGAATAACATCAATTTCTTGTTTCCCCATGTTTAGGTGGACATGTTCATGGTGTGATCATGGCCTTGATAAACCTGTGCACATACAACCAAATGATACCTGTGCAAAGTGGCTACCACTTTGCAGTCAAATTTGGACAAAGCAGTAAGGTGTAGAAAATTATCAACAAGAACCACAGAAAGTCAATTAATGACATTGCTAAGGAGATCAAGGTTTCAAGGGACTCTATTGGAAGAATTGTGCATGAGGACCTTTAATGCAAATCATATGTGATGTGAAGAAGCTAATTCATGTCTGCAAAGACAAAAGATAACCATCTGATCCATGCAAAGCACTTGTTAAGCAAATTGAGATATCGAGAGCTTGAAATGCTTTGGTTTTTCTTTGGTGAGAAAAAAACTTTGATCAGAACCAAAAGTTCAACTGAAGGAATGACAGATGCTTATACAGAAACCCTAAAGATATTCTAACAGTAATGCACACAAAAGTTATGGCAACTGTGATCATTCTGAGAGAGATCATACCTCCTCACTTTTTTCCTCAGGGTTTAATGGTCAATTCTTATGACTATATGGAGATGTTGGGGAGGGTTGTGAGGCTTTAGATAGAGAGCAAGCAAAGGAAGACTGTACACCTACCAAAAAGACTGTGCTGTCTCATAAGGCCAAGATGACTGAAGAATAGATGAGTTACAATCTTTATGATCATGTCACTCCAAACATATGGCTTCTTAACTCTCCAGATCTAAATCTGTTGAACTACTACATATGGGGCATAGATGAGTGGGAAGTCAATCAGCATCCTCATAACACCATATAAATCTCTGTAGGCCATCATAACTGGCACAATGTCCAAAATAGATAAAGATTATATGACTCAGTTATTTCATGGTTTCAGACCTCATATTGAAGAAGTAATTAATGCTAATGACGGATTCATTAAGTAGATTCACCAAGAAGAGTCTCAATATTATTTATGCCAATTCTTTTTCCAAATAAAGCTCTTTTTTCATGACTTATGCATCTTTTACTAAATTCATGCAAATGTCCTCAAAGAACTGAGCAATCCTGTTTATATTATTTACACTTCCAGTATATCAAGATGCAAGCAGATTTTGACATCAAATTTTGGAGTAAAAAATTGTGTCTTATACAACAAGTATATGGTAAATACAGTATATTCATAATTTTATCAACATATTCAGTCAGTTGTGTGCCGTGCATGATACACGTTTAGGCAATCATGTATCTTTCAATACATGACTGATGAAGCAGATTTTTTCCCACAGTAGGTTACCATTTCTTTCTGCGGCAGATGAGTTTCCATCCAAGGCTATAGAACCCAATCTGTTCTGCTATTTACCCATAGCTGGTGGGAGAAGAGGAGGATTCATACCTTTCCCAAGGGTATTAGCACATAAGTGAATGTAATGGATTCGACTGGAATTTGAACTCGGCTCTCCAATTCCTCAATCTGAGCCACTATCCATTACTCCACCGTGTCTCCTCAACATATTAGGGTGCTGGAAATTGGTCAGATCAATCTATTTCTAAGTTCTGAAATAACCGAACATCAGATTTTTTAAAAGTTTTCTTGGTTGGATTGAGAAGTTTTCAGTACCCCTTTGTATGTCATTTGAATGATAGAGTTCGCAATTACCCTCCGAAAATAAAATTTTCATTCCCATTGGTCAGTTTCATCAAAATGAATTATGAATAAATCTCTACCTGTATCTATTGATATATATATTATTTACTTTTCTCAGGTTGCAGCACAAAATGCCAGGGATGGATGTCAAAAAAAGGTGTCAGAGAATATTTCAACCCTCTCTCTTTGGCCTGTAAAGGGAAGAAGATAGACATCTTAAAGATGTTAGTTGATGCTGGTTTGTACTATCCATTAAAATTCTTTTTTTTTTTCTATTTTCTTAGCTTTAAAACTATTCAAATTGGTTCAGCACTTGAGGCTTACAAAAAGGCAAGATGACAATGATTATCATAATTAAACATATTTATATCACAAAAAATAATCATTTCATATTACTTAGTATTATTTGGTATGATTAACATGTTGACTGCTAGGGCCCATTTACAAAATCTGACTTCAAACGCCAAATTTATAAAAGCAAACTTAGGCAATAAAAATTTTTTATGAGTTGATTTATTGCTTCAACTGAATTCTTAATGTTGTTTCCCCACTAAAAGTATCACTGCAAATAAACTCGTAGTTGGCACCATAATAAAAACTGACAACCACAAGTTATCCTTATGTAGGGGAAACCCTTGTATAGCCTGACTATTTTTGACTGCTTTTGGTGATTTCTCCCTGCTTATTAGGGACATAGGTTCAAACCCTGCAGAAGAGCACCTTTTCTTTATTAAAGACTCATGAAAAAACCAGGCCGGTAGATAAAAATTATACTCTGGAAAGTTTATAAGATGGCTATGAAGGAGTGATGCTAGAGCTGTGAAATCTTGCAGACATTAACTTCAACTTATTAATAACTGCATTGTTTCTTTCCAGGTAAACTGACATCTTACTGTTCAAAGACTTCAAAAGTAAATAGTCATGACTTCTTTGGAAAATGGACAAAATTTGGCATCATGGTCTTATCAAGTTCCTGCAGCAAAAAAGTTTAACCTTCAAAGACATTCATGCTGACATAGTTATTATGGGATGACACTCTAGCTTTATCAACAGAGCAAAAGTGGGCAGCTGAATTTTGGTGGGGAAGGGAGAGTCTTGAAGATGACCCAATGTCTGGACTTCCTGCAACTGCCACCACCAAAGAAAACATTGATTGTGTTCATGATGGTTGACAGGCAATTGACTATAAATCAAATAGCCAATGCTATTAGCATATCCTGTGAGAGAATTGAGAATATTTTGCATAATGAATTTGGTTTCTACTCAGTGGACACTGCATCTGACAGCTGATCAAAAACACACAGGCTGATCACATCAGATGGTTTACTTGATTATTGCTTCATCCAGGATGTGTGTTGGGTTCATCACTTTGAGCCAGAAAATCTATGCAGGGGAAACACTCTCTGCTCACCTGCTCCAAAGAAGGCTACAGTTGTTTCATCTGCAGGCAAGGTGATGGCCTTAGTTTTTTTTTGGATGCTAAAAGGCATTGTGTTTATTGACTAACTTTAAAATGGGCATACCATTAAGACAGTTATGAAAGGCTATCAAGACCAAATGCCCAGAAAAAAAACTGATGAAAGGGACATTGCTCTAGCATACAAGTCCTTGATTTCAATGGCTCTGTGCATGACTGGATTTGAACTGGCTGATCACCTTCACTATTCTCCTGATTTGATTATCATCTGTTCCCCAACATGAAAAACCACTTGGCTGGGAAGCAGTATCACAGTGATGATGATGTCATATTTGCTGTTGATGACTTTTTTGACCAACAGGATGAACAGTTTTCTTTGAACAGTCAAATGGAAAGAAACAATGCAGTTATTCATAAGATGATTTGGAATTAATGCATGCAAGATTTCACAGCTCTAGCATCACCCCTCCATAGTCAGCCTATGAACTTTTCAGCTCACCTTCATATATACACAAGTGTCTTTTTCATTCCTTTTTTCTTTAAGAATTAGATATCTAGATTAAATTTTGAAATAAATAAAATCCTACTTGATTTTTATTTGTTGTGTTTGTTTACATATAAATTGCTTTTCTTTTTGTTTTCAAAATATGTTTACAAAAGAAAACTACTTGTGGCTAGTTGTAGTAAAAACATCCCTTTTCCAGCTTTGATTTCAAAGTCTTCTTAATCACTAATTCACAGATTATGCTTATTGTTTCAATTTCAGGGGTCGATGTAAACAGTCAGTTGCCTGGAGATCAGATGGAAGAGGAAGAGGGAGGAAGCATTGACTTTAAAGATGTTCGAAACACTTGTCTACACTGGGCTGTACAGTATGGTCAGGTTGAAGTTGTAAGGACCCTTTTACAAAATGGTGCTAGCCCCAACATTCAAAATGGTTTCATGGAGACCCCACTGCATGTAGCTTGTGACTACTACAATCCTTTAATTATTAAAGACCTTATTCTATATGGTGCTGTGTCAAACAATGCCAACCATGCCGGCATGACTCCGCTTGGTATTCTTATTTCCTATGAATCAGGTTCCAATCTTGTCGAATATAAAAACAGCATACGACTACTTGTGAGAGCAGGCTATGATATGCAACACGATCTTTGCTGGCAAAAAATGCTCTCCGAAGACTGCTCCAGTTGTCACCTTTTAAAAACGTTCCCTGATCAACACTTTATCTGCAGGCTCAAACACATTATGCTCAATCCTAAAAAGCTATCACACATTTGTCGTTTGCAAATAAGGACAATGTTCCATTATGATGCTGCTGCCTTCCAAGCTCTCCCAATCTCAAAAGCAATGAAAGAATTCCTTTCCCTTCCAAACTCTTGCCTTGAATTATCAGATGTTGTGGCAACAGCAGAGGCTGTGCCAAAAGAAATGAAAAGCAACTAATTCTTGACTTACAAGTTTACAGAACTTATTTGTTAAACTGCAATTATGAACTTTAAATTGTATTAAAAAGCTTCAGTTTCAAATTCCTGATACTCCTTCGCCAAAGTTGACTGGCCAATTTTATGTTCAAAATGTGTTACTGTAAGGCAAGAGTGTTAGTAACTATTGTTAATATGACTAAATATCTTTCCTGACTATTTTATTAAACAGTTTTTCAAAATAATATAGAAATATACATCAGGTGGATTCCTGAATGCATCTGAATACATGCTCTCCATGAAGGTATAATAGAATTTTATCACTGAATGAGACCTTAATATATACCTTAAAACTTTATCAGTATTCTTCTATGTACAGTGTTCCTTCATGGTTCTCCACGACCTCCTGTCCTTTGTAGCTTGCAGTAAAAATTTGTCTTTTTGCTATCCCTCTTCATCCCTGTTCCGCTATTTACACAAGCTCATTAGGTAGGTTATGCGCTATATGTTATACTTTCTGTATGTCCTGTGAGTGTCAAATTTTCCAAGCCCTCTTTCCTCATTATGTGCCCTAGAAATTTCAATTTTCTCTTTCTGATTTTAAGTATAAGTGTCCTTTATCTTTCCATTAAGATACTGACAAACTACATTTTAACAAGATTGGAATTTTTCCTTTCTTTTATATTTCTGAGATATTACTGGTTTTTACAAGCACATTGTACATCTTTTATATAATAAAAGAAATGATTTCATATTATATGAGTTTGTAATTTTTACCTGTAATAAGCTGGTTATCAGTAATCTACATATATATATATATATATATATTTTGGAATGCAATTAGAACAAAAATAATATATAAATTCTAACATTCACAGCATTAATTCAAAAGAGGACTCAATACCGATAGTAGAGCAATAATTATTTATTATAATTTTTTCATATAGACAAAAAACAATTTACTCACTACAATGATGCAACTCCATTTCAGTGCATTTAATTGCACTTTGACTGGTGAGAACCAAAATGGTTATGAACAATTGTTTGTAAGCAATATATATATATATATATATATATATATATATATAATAAAAATATAGTATAATAAAAATTAAAAATGAGAATATTTCAAATCGTAGTTAAATAAAAACTAAAAAGTATCCTAATCTGAACACCCCCGAAAATCTTTAAATTTACAAATAGAAAAAAAATGCCGTAAGAATTTTTTTGCCGTTAACAATAAATTTAAAAAAAATCCAGACAACATGCATTCAACGGATGTCAGTTCTCATTGAAAAATACATCCCTACCTCTTACCAAAATGTAGCTAATAACTGATACAATGATACAGACATAAGGAAAACCCAGACAACCCTTATCCAATTGAAGTAGATTTATCTGTAACTATGGAAACGGGATTTTAGCTGTTGTCTTTAAAACCCAGTAATTTTAAAAGTTACTCCAAAATTCGCTTGAGGATGAAATGGAACTAATGTCTTTAATTTAATTGCAAAATTAAATTCGTGGCTTTTAGCTTCCACTTTTGAAACATGGTTAGAACTGTGTAGCAAAAAAAAAACCATATTTTAAATCAATTAATTTATAATATTATATTATATATATATATATATATATATATATATATAATTTATTTTAGGATATTAAAACGTTAAAAATCGCTACATAATGGCCATTATGTTTCTACACTACAAATGTGTCTCCTTGGATGATATTAAACTACTGGCAATTGAAAGATTAATTTAATTTCAAAAGCAGAATACTTTAAAAATATAGACTTGTGGGCTTTGACATGATTAACCAATCAAATGTGACCTATGCTAAATTTAAATTCACTGGAAAAAAATTTTAATATAGGTTATGACACAAAGTTGTCTGCATATAAATTCTAGAAAAAATTTCCTTATAGGCAGATACAGGTTGTTACATTATTTCATAAGATGTATCGAAGTCTGATGTTCAAATTTCCTAAGTAACAGCGAAAGAGATGGGGAGGTAATTTAACATAATGCTAACTAGTTTTATGCTTGTTCAGCTTCTTACATAAAATTTTGTAGTTGATAAATAAAAGGCCCCTTTAAGAAACTGATAAATAACTTAACCATTCAAAAAAAACAAAAATGGATGAAAAAATATGAGATAATGATATATAGATTTTTATATATTGAGAACAGTTTTGGAAGAAAGATGTATATTATAAATTCAATCTTTGACAAAAGTGATATTTGCCAAATTAAAAGAGTGCTCAATACAATTTTCATAAAATGAAATTTAGGGCATGTTAAGATATAAAATATCTGAAACTTTGACCTTTCTCCAGCCACAGTTTCCATGAAGATTGTAGCCTGACAAAAGCATCTTGGTAGAAATCGTGGTTGCAGAAAGGTCAATGTTTCAGGTATTTTATATCTTACATATATGGGATGACGATATATACTTTTATATATCAAGAACAGTTTTGGAGGAAAGATATACGACAAAGTGGAAAAAGTTTTTGTATGATGTATTTTGTCATTTGGATCTTCATTGGACTAGGTTTGTTTACGTTGCCATGGCTACATGTACATGAATGAGAGACACTGAGAATTTAAAATTTTGAAAAATATTTTTTTTAAATGTGTTTTGGGTTTTAGTTTTCTAATAATGTTTTGGGTATCTAATCTATCCAATTTCATTTAGATTATTTTCCTTTTTGTTTCCATCATCTTTGTTGTTAAATTTCCCACATTGTGATAGATTTGGGAAACATAGGAACCTGGATTATATACCCAAAACACATTAGAAAATCAAAACCCAAAACATATTTTTTTAAAAAAAAAAGAAAAGAAAAAAGAAACATAACCCAAAACACATTTTTAAAAAAAATTTTCCAAATTCCCAGCATCTCTTGTTCATGTGCATGTATAGTTGCATCAACGTAAACAAACTTAGTCCAATAAAGTCCGAAGAGACAAAATTTTTTCCACTTTGTCATATATATATATATATATATGTGTATATGTGTGTGTACAGTGCTGCTTGGCACATAATGTATATATTGAACATTTGCACTGCCATATCTGCAACTCCCACTTGCACACCACCAGTTTGTTTCTTTCCTCTCTTTCTGCAAGTCATGTTTTCTCCTTATTTTTCCTTTGGGGGCCAAGGTCAGTTACACATTGCTGTCACCGTTTCAGTCTTGCCTTAAAGTGTGGCCAAGAAACCTCTATCTTCTTCACTGTACCTTGACACTTGTAAACATACAATGGAGTTCATCTTCATCTTTCATTGACCAGACAAATCAATCCCCATGCTGTGTTTTAATTCACATTCACGTCAGTGAACACAGACTGGGAAACACTTGCTGCATGTTACCAGGGGATGGAAGATGAAATCAACTTCATGGCAAGAAATGAAAACAAATCTGGTTTTCAATAATTTATTTTTATTCACAGTTCTTCATCAAACCTAGTATTCTCTCTGGCAGGAGCTAGGTAGCACAAAGATCCCTTCACCTCTTCTTACTCTCGCCAAGCATCTGCTACCAATGTAACTGGACAGATGGATCCTCTCTCTCTCTTTTAACTCAACTGGTATCCTACTTATTTAAAACTGCAGACAGAAACCTCTGAGTTCCAACCAAGTGCTACTTGACCTCACAAATTTTTCATTTATTATTTTTTTCCCCTTTGGATACCGCTTTGAGCATCAGTTTTCAAAGACTTTATATTCTGGCCATAAAAAAAAAAAAAAAAAAAAAAAAATCTTGACACTTCTGACTCTGATAACATCATTTAGGGTTTGATTTGACTTTGCTCAGCCAGTCAACACTAAGAAGTTCTGTGGAGAGATATTGGAGAAATTCCACCATTTTCTCTGGCCTTTGAGGATCATTCTTAAGCTGTTATGAAATACTGATTCATTTTCTATGGTTTATCAACACTTTGCAGGTTATTTAAAGCCCCCCCCCCATTATTTTTCAATTGTAAGAATTCTTTTTTGGAGATAATGATTTAGTGACACAAGACTTACTAACCCATAGCTGGGGGGAGAAGAGGTGGATTCATACCTTTCCCAAGGATATTTTGTGTAAATGAATATAATGGAACCAACTGGAATTGAAACTAATAACAATTCTGAGCCATTATCTATTACACCACCCTCATTTTTAAGCTTATAGCATCTGGTATTCCCAAGTGGTCACCCATCAATATACTGATCATGCTTGATGTTGCTTAACTTTTGGTGATCATATAAGAACCAGTGTTTCAGCATGATGCTGTTGTAAGCCTTGTTATAAAATAGGTCAACAAGCTTGTCATCATACCTATTCATTTTTCAGGTATTGCAACCATATAACAGGATAACCAAGTCTTGGAAAACCTGATCTAGATTATCAGAATTTTACTTGTAACCTATTTTATTTTTAATGTTTACTTTGAGTTTCTCACTACAAACTTATGTGATTTCTACACAGTAACAAACTAACTTACAAAACTAATAAGTCATTATATAAATTTGATAAGTATTACATAATGACTATGAGAATAGACAAAAGTAGATTTATATTTATGAAATATGCTTTTTACTGATTGAATAGTTTAAAATCATTTAAGGAGTTTCAGTGAGAAACAATTTACTGAAAGCTTTAATGCCAAATCATTCTTGGTCTTCTTTTCCATTCATTATTTAGATTTTGTCTTAAAGTGTGGTTGTTGAACCTCCATCTTTACTGTACCTAGACACTAAAGGTCTCTATGGTGCATTTCTGTCATTATAAACATGGTCTTGTCAACTAATCTTGAGGATCCTTAGCTGTTGTCATGAAATAGGTTGATAAGCTTGTTCATTTTTCAGGACTTGCAAGCATAAAATAGAACAGGGGCAACCAAGGTCTTATAAAGCCCAATCTTGTTGATTTTGCTTGACCATTGGCAGTAATGCTTGCATTAATTCCTGACCAATGACACATATTTAGGGTATTAGACAGCATAAAAGATGCACCCCTATTTCAGCAAAGCATACCCAAGAAAAAAAAAATTATTTACATTGTTTGGACTGTAATCCTCATTATTCATGCTTTGGCCGTTGTACACTACACCCTCCTTTAGGTGATATATTTTGGAATTTCAAACCGAACCATTTTAGTCAATGAGGGTAGATTGTTCTAGTTCCACGTGCCATGCCTTTTCTTGATACCTCAGTTCCACTTAGTACCCTTTTAGTAACTCAACTCTCCAAGTTTTGTTCACTTCTGCTGTGGCCAGGTAATGAACTTACAACTCCTTGGGTAAAGCTACTTATTTTTTTTTTTTTTTTTTCTGGGGGTTACAATGCCTCATCTCAGAAATATAGTGCAAAAAAAAAAAAAAAAATTATAATCAGCCAGTATCTTCTGTGAAACAGATGTTTTTTTGCACACATTGATAAACTCTGCCCTTTCATGACACCAACATTTTGATCCTGTAAAGCTCAGAATCTTCTGTTCTGCTAATCTCCTGGCCTACATTAATTATCACTTTGGTAGAAACACTTCTTGAATTCCTCTGATTTCCCACCCACTGTGAAAACGAAGATTATGTTTATCCTTTTTAAGTCTTTAGTTGATCATGTCATTGACAGATATGTAACTTTCTTTTTGAGGAGGTGGGAAGCTGTTCTGTTCTCATGCTACTTAATGTAATCTATCAATTGAAGGCATGACATAAAATAATTCTTGATAATGGCTTATGAAGACTGAAAACACTCAGAGATGACTGGATAATTTATGTTTAAATTCTCCCTGGTATCCAGAAAAATGGCCCAAACAAAGTTGAAAAATCTTCAATCAAACCTATATAAATTAAAAATTGGTGATTATATATATGGTGGACTCTCCTGTCATATTCAATGTATGAGGGTCAAACAGCTCAGTTCCTAGGAACCAACAGCCAGACATGAGCACGTATGATTATATTGGTGAAGGCTTTGTGCAGAACCAACCACACTTTTTGAAGGGCTGAATACAGAGACGGGGTGTATTAGGTGCCACAATGTCCTCTGCAGGTTTTGAATTCAGAGATGCCCTTCTCCTAGACCAGTTACCATCCAAAACTATAGAACCCAGCCTGTCCTGCTATATACCCAGAGCTGGTGGGAGAAGAGGAGGATTAATACCTTTCCCAAGGGTATTAGCACATAAGTGAATGTAATGGATTCGACTGGAATTCGAACTCTGCTCTTCGATTCCTCAATCCAAGCCACTGTCCACTGTGCCTCCTTCACATTTTATTTTTTTTATATATAAATAAATAAGAGGAAATGGGCTGCACAACACCAGGAATTACTATAAAACCAAAATATTAGCCTGAAAACTAGAGTTATGTACTAAAATAGATGTTATGTATAGTGCCAAACCCCTTAAGAAATATCTAAACTGTTAGCTATATACGACCGCTTCCTAAGATCAATGGTGAAAGTCAGAGGCTTGACAAAGATCATCCCACTTTGAACATTGTGAATCTGCAGTGCCAGTCCACAAAGAACTGTACCAAGTAACAGAAATCACATCACTTGAGTACTTCCAACAGCATCAACAACTAAAAGGGATAGCACATGTAACTTGAAGAGGAAATGATGACACAATCAAGATGTTGACATTCCCTAATTTACATAAAAGAAACCCTTGTCAATACTAGTGATAACAGCTACTGGACTTGAGAAACCTGTTTTCCTAAAAGAAAGTTTTTAGAGTTTTTTTTTTTTTTTTAAATTTCAACTGACAGCACTACTGGCTGCTTGGTCAATGAATGCTCCATGTTTCCTTGTAGGAAAATGGCTAATATCACCATCACCCACTTTCCTTAGGCCCAGTAACCAATGGTTTCAGCGGCATCTTGTAAAACAACTTCCCAATGGAATCATCCATAGTTGTTGAAATCTACCATTTATTTGTTTTACAGGTTTCATCTTTGCATCCATTATGGCATAGTTTTGAATTCAGAATTGTCCTTCTTTTGGAGTGATGGCCAAATGTCATTAGAATCTGTCTACTTTGTTATTTAACATATTATTTATTTATTTTTTAAAGCTTATCAACCCTTTGTGTGTTATTGAAAGTCAAAACATGTTTTTGGGTTGTAGGAATAATTTTTTTTTTTTGCAAGTGGATATTGCATTAACAATGTTTTTGAGAATTAATAATGATTTTTCTAGATACAAGATTCACTATTTAACCCATAGTCAAGTGAGACAAATTCTTAACTTTTTCAGAGGTACTTATGTAAAAATGAATATAATGAACTTGACTGGAATTTGAACTCAGGTTCCTTATTCCAAGTCATTACACTATGTATTCTTGAATATATGTTAAAACTTATGCTTTCTTAAGGCATAAAAGATGATGTCTGAATATTCCTCCAAAACAATTTTTGATATATTTAAAAGACTGAAAAGAATTCTGAAATAGTTTAGGAGGATGAAGAACAAATTATTTTGATGCTATCTACCAGTATCCATTAACATTTTCAATTCATTGGTTGGATTCTAACAAAGTTTTACAAGTTAGGCAATAGATTTTTTTTACCTCACTGATGTCACACATAACTAATATCTTCATAAAGTACATATCTTAAAAAAGAAAGTCGGGAGTGGGGATGAAAAATATTGAACAAATCATGTATGAAAATTATTTAATACATACGTGACAAAAGCCGAAGAAGGGCTTTGTAGGTTTACATTTAATGAGAATAATGATAGAAAATTATAGAATAAAAAGCAATAGTCATGAAAATCTTTTTTTCGCTCTTTTCTTTTTCTTTTTTTTTTTTTAATAGAATAATATTTTGATAAAAAAAAAAAAAAAAAAAAAAAGGGGACTCATTGCATATGAAAACTTGTTTTTTTTTTTTATTGTGACATCACAGGTGACCGTTGTGAAATGTTTTATTTCATGGGTTCATCTTCCTTTAAGGTTACTTCTGGATCACAATCTTCAGCTTTCTTTGTTTCTTCTTTTACTTCAACTTCCATTTTTTCTTTTGAAGTATCGTCCTCCTCTTCCTCTTCTTCGTCCTCTTCCTCCTCTTCCTCATCCCCCCCACCTTTTTCACTTTCACTTTCACTATCTATTTTGATGAAACCATCAACATCTTTGTTTTCTTCTTTATCTTCTTCCTTAGCCTTTTTAGCAGCAGCCGATTTTTCTAAAAAGCAAAAATTAAACTTCTTTGCAAGATTTCACAAAAATTTTAATTAAAATTAACTCAATCAAATTATCTGTATCATCATTATCCCAATCAAAAATATGAAATACGTTCATATTAAGGTTTTAAATATGGGCATTTTAAAAGTATATATTAAAACAAGTGGGACAAGAAGAGCAAAGATATGCAAAACAATTATATTATTATTCATTGTAAAGTGATGAATTGAAAAATATAAGCAACAAAAGAACACAAAAGGGCTAATCAGTTCTTCAGAGACAAAACTTTAGTTACAAAACATAAATATCTACCAAACAAAAAAAACAAAAGGGGGGAAACTACCAGAGGGTCAGAAATATAAATCACAGACAGACTACATTTAAACCCAACAAGCATTCCTTCTGCTCAGAGAAGGAAGGCTGCTTAGATTTTATATAAAGTGTTATTTTTGTTATCTTTCTCAAAGAAACTATTTAAGAACTCAAAACTGCAATATCATGTCAACTAAAACTTTGCACAACATAAAATCTGGAAATTATTTTTCTCTCATGTAATCATTGTATGATCAATCTAAACATTCAAGTTTAGTGACTTGACCCAATTTGTACATAATGGACACAGAATCTTGACCTCTTCAAGTCAAGAGTCAATCATTATTTATCTTTGTTATCCTTATAAACTTCACTTTCTACCATATACCACATTTATCATAATCATTTTAAAACTATTTCTATCTTGAGTGGCTCTTGAACCTTATATTAGAATTCTTATATCTCAATACAAAGCTAAGAGCTACTCATTGAGATGCTTGTATGTGGAGGTAGAAGTTAATGTTATGAGTATATAATGACTGACTCTTGACTTTAAGTGGGGGGGGGGATCTATTCCACAAAGTAGTTCTTATTCACTGTAAAGACTCAATTTTTAATGCCTACAAATCATTTTCCAAATAGTCTGAAAGTTCAGACTATAAAAAGGTCTGAGAATATCTATTCACTATTTTGATGAACCATTGATTATTTCACATTTGATGCACAGTGAAAATCATTTAAAACAAAAGTCACTATTGCTCTCACTTGAGGGAAATCTTAGAAATGTTTATATAACATACTCATCCCTATATTGTTTGCTTGTACATTTAGTCAACTAGTATATTATTTAAAAGCCTTAAAAAAAATATAGAAAAAAGGAAAATGTTTATCCAAGTTCAAGTGGAAACTAAACTTTGGTCAGCCAGGAAACACTGTTCTTTCTTTTCGTGCAACACAGAAAATTCACCTTTCAACAAGATAAGTTTTTATTATGAAAATCGAAAATGAAAACAAATGTAGGACAGTATTCAGCATAAACTTCTTTTTCTATATGCCATGTCACTTCAGGAGGTGAGCGATTATGGCTCTCCACAATTTCTTATTCTTTGTAAAATTTTCTTTCTTAGCAATTTGAGTATTTTTTATTTTTTTAACTATCCTTTCTATTCCCTGCTCTGCCATTGATTTTCACAAGCTTCTTAGGTAGGTTTATGCAGTTTTCCTTTGTCCCTCTTGCCTTCAATGAGTCTCATATTTTCTAACCCTTCTTTCCTCATTATTATAGTTGAAATTTCTAGGACACACAAGGAGAAAAATAAAATCTGCCAGGGGAAAGATTCAAAAGGAAATTACTTATGAATTTTTTTTTTTACTAATATTTACCAAGTACAAGGCTAAAGAGCCACTCAAAGTAGGTTACTAAATGAGGTGTATTATATGAATATAAAAGGAGGAAGTGGAAACTGGAACTGCACAATACAACAAAGTGATCAATTGGTTCATTTGGATGATGCATCCAACTTCTTTGGGGGAAGGAAGTGAACAGGTAATTTTGCAGCGTAATAGCATTTGTATTTGTGTTGCAAAATGTGAGACTATAAATAATTATGGATCTGAGATTGAAAGTTTGTCCACATTTGACAGTTACTAGATCTGTCAACTTTCACTTATTTCTATCTGTGCAACACTCATTCTTTGATCAGCACTTCCAAGAATTAACACTTCCACTGCTGTGTGCATACTTGTACATCTTTACGAAATTTTACATTGTCTCTTGTCAGCATATATATTCAAGACACTAGTTCGTCTCTAGTGCTTAGTGTTATTTCCATAGTACTGTACAATACAGACAGTTTTGTGATATATTTTTATTGTATTGTGTGTGGAGGTGTCATTTAGCTTAGTCTGTGCTGCAGAGTATTCCATCAAAATAGAAACAACGTTACCCACAAGAAATAGTTGTCAGCATTTTTATAGCCATTTATTCCCCACCCTTCCTTAAACAGGCCAGCACAGCCAGGCAACAATGCTATACAAATGTAACAGTGAAAGTGTTAAATACAGTGCAATAGGGTTGCTGGATTTGGCTGTCGGTAAATGCTCAAGTGAACTGATTTTTAAAAGCAGCTTCAAAAAAGTGTTAATTTATTTCTGCTTTATTAGGAAAATGCCAAATCTCTGTATATCTTTAAATTTCTTGTAAGACAGTGTAGAGACAAATGTGAGTTTGTTCTTAATAAATACTTAATTACTTTTAAATTTGGGACAAAACTTTTTATAAATTTTTGTAGCTGTTGCTGTGAAAGAAAAAAATAAAACATCTGGATTTTCGGTGAAAAACAGAAAAATCTTGTAAAACAAGAGAAGGGGGAGTGTTTAAGAAAGAAGAAGCTTACGTATTTCTTCAAGTTCCACTCCACACAGTCGCAAATAATGGGAACGTGCATGCTTACTAACAAAAGATCGTACAGACATTTTGCCTTTCCAACCACAGAATATCATTTCGCAGTCAGGTTCAGGGTCTCTGAAAAAATATTTTAGAACAAAAACTTCATTTAGGAGAATCAATAATAGGTAATCAATCACAGACATTTAATCTGTTGGCTATGGAATAATTTATTTTTATTTATACTTTTCAGTTTTTAAGTAACATAGTAAAAATTTGTTTTCGTGTCTGCATTTCAAGATGAGTTCTGATTGTTTTAGTAGTTTGTTTTGGTCTGGGAAGGTAATTATAGCTATTTTTTCCTCCAAGCAGAGTTTGCAGTTTATGGGTTGATTGTTGTACGCTGATGTTCTTTTCCTTATTTTCTATATTTTTGGCGTGATTTGCTTTTTGTTTTTAATTTCCCAGATATACTTGGAAAGCATTGTGCTGTTCACGTATTTACTACTTGTGAAAGATGTTTTGTGTGCATAGTTTCTTTGTTTTCAGGGTCATTCAGTTACTCCTATGTATATTTTTTCTTCGTTATCTGATGATTTTATTGTGGCTTGGTATATTACATTGCTTACAAAACAATTGCCATTTAAGGGACATTTGTTCTTTATTCTGCAGTTACATGTGGGTTTAATTCGTTCAGGTGGTTTGTTGAGTTTCCTGTTGTGCTTTTTTATTATTTGTGTCATGTTTTTGGTGCAACTGTAGCTGATTTTTACTATGTTTTTGTTGAATATTTAGTGGAGAATGCTTGATTCAGGGAAGTGTGTGTAAGAGTTTGCTGAATATTTTCCCTATGTTTTTGTTGTATGGTGGGTTGAACCATAACAGGTTTCTCTTCTGTTGTTTTTTTTTTCTCCTCTGGTGTGTATATGAGTGTTGCCAGGAATGTGTGAAGATGTTGCAACAAAGATGAAAATTTATAAATGACATGGTTTGCAAAGAGCATCTGCTCTCTTTGGCTTCCTCAAGTTAGAATGAAAATACATAGGAAAAATATGTTGAGATCTCTGAAGATAAATGGAGACCATAAATGAAATTACATTTTTTA